TTATTCCTGATAATTAGGAGTGGAAGGGTTGCTGGAAGTGAACTTAATCCAAGGTGCCTCCTGGTTTTGATGTCTGACCTACCAGGCATGAAAGGCCAAGTGATTGGAAAGGTTGGGATATCTGCAAAAGATATCCCAGGCCTGTTTATGAGCCTTCCATGACTATTGGGCAGTCAGGAGACCAACATAACTGAGGATACTGTGGCAAATGTATTGAGATTTTTCGGATCATCTGGACAACTTAATCAGTTACTGCCTCCACACAGTTGTTATCAGAGGGGAGGTTAACAACAGCAAGATCAAGCAATGAGAGAGTCGTAAAGAAATGCCAGTCAGCCTGTTTCAGCTTCCACCATGGCATGGGTCAGATGGGATTGACCTTGGTTGGGTTGATCACTGCTATGCAGGTCATTGTTTATTCTCCAAGTAAAACAAGGAAGAACAGAAGGGAAACAAATCAGTGACAGTACAAGGCTGACTGTAGCATGAAAACATGTATACAATCCAGTATTGAGGGAAGTAAGTTTGTGTTCTGAGAGCAGGTTCTACAGATTACCTCTTTCCATCAGCACCTACCTAGAGTGGACTTTGCCCATTAAAGTCTCCCATCATAAAGAAGGGAGAAGGCAACTACTCAATAAAATTGTCAGGGCATACATGATCAAAATAGTCTCCCAGTGACAGGCAAAGAGAACAAACTGTGGTGGTATGAAAGATGGAGACATGGATGACAACAGCTTCCAGAGATATAATGCGTAGTACAGCATTAGTGGGTGCATGCTGGTCAACCAGCAGCATAACACCTCCATGAGCCTCACCATCACAAAATCTGTCTTTCCTGTACAAGAAAAAGTGCTGAATGAAGACATCAAGAGGGCTCAAGAATATTTCCTGTAAGAAAATACATACAAGATGATAAGAATCAATCAAGACCTTAATGTCACCCAAGACTAAGACTCAAAAGTTCCTCTGAGTAAACATTCTTGCCTAAAAGATCTAATAGAACTAGGTGAAGAGTTTTTTGTTTTGATTTATGACCACCTTTTTTATTTGTAAAAGGTCTATCAACCTTCATGGATATTGCCCTGGAAAGATGGGGCAAGTCCCCATCAGGTGAACAAGATTCCAGTGAATGAGGGCAAGATAGTGTAATGGTTTTGCACCTCTGGGCTGATGAAGGTGGAACTGGTTGTTTACTATTGTGTCAATAGTGGGAATGGAGACAGGTATAGACATGGTCCTGTCAACGTGCTAATCCGTGGAGGGCAGAAGACCCTGAACATGCTGAGAGAAAGACTCATTGGATGATCTGTCTGCACTCCTACTGTGACAGTGGAACAGAGTGTAGCAGTATATGTTTATGTTGGAAGTGGGACACTATCTTAAGTAATTCCTGATAAAGAAAAAATTTAACAGTTTTTAACCACTGTAACTTTTACTACTCCATCCATTTAGGGCATGATCAAAAGTAGGAGGGGTGGGACTCATTGCAGTTAACACAATGTGGATCCAATTGACACTCCGAGCTACTGTGGCTTTTCCTAGCATAATAAGCGTGTCAAAATACCACAACAAAATGTCAATGTGTCTGAATCATTGGCACTAGAAACAGCAAAGAGGGTTAGAAATATAGAGCCTCACCTTCCAGTTCAGATAGCTTGCTTTTTGCAAGTGAACATAAAGTAAACATTAAAACAAGAAACTCTGTAGGTTGCATTATTCCATTTGTATGAGTGAAGATACATCAAACAGCTGAAACTTCTTTTGACTGGAGAAACAAAGAAGCATGGGGACAAACCCCAATACCTATTTACTATATGAATGTCGACTGCAAGAGTTCATTTTTACATGGTTGGTATGTTTCTACCAACTTACTTAACTTACTTAGGAGAGCCAGAAGCACCTCTAATCCCCTTTTTGGATGGAAAAGGGGGACATATGCCCTTAAGATTTGTCTGTTAATGAACAAAGAATGAGAAAGCAAGGTACAGGAATGCTTGAAGATGGTGGCTGTGTAAGTCTTCTGCACATGGTTGTTTCCCAATGATAGTTTTTTATTTATTTGGTAGGTTTTGGGGATTCACAAGAAAAAGAAAAATATTCAATACCATGGATTTCAAACTAGGACAGCGGAGTCACACCAGGATTTTGTGGGCACTATACCCAAGCAGTAGCACCAGACATAATGTCTATTTGTCAACTGAGCACATCCAGTACTGGCATTCAGTTGACACTAGCCAAGCAGAACGAGCTGACTGACCCAGGGAAGTCATCTCAATGCCAAAGTTTTGTGTTGCACTCAACTACCAAGATCTCCTTCCTTTCACAGGTCTTCATGCACTGCAAACACATGGTTGTATTTTTGAATCCCATACAAGTTTACACTGTTGTACAGACAGAACTTTCCCTGAGTGGTCCTATCACTATTTATAGGAATCCACATCGAGAGGAATTTAAGAGAAAATCTTACAATCAGCCATCTTCCAATCACTAACTGATAACAGCAATTACTTGCAAAGCATTCTCCCATTAGAGGTATCTCCAGGAAAAAGAATACTATATTTCAAAAATGTGCAACATAAAAAATCTCCATAAATTACAAATAAAAAACATTCTGAACTCTATAATGTTTAAGTATAATATGTTTCTTATACACATCCACAGTAAAACAAATAAACCAGTTTTTCTTTCTTCATTGTTTGTATCAGTCTTAATCAGCAAGATATTTATTAACAAAAAGAAGACTACAACTGTCGCATGCAATAGAAGCAATATTCAGCTCAAATAATGATGTTGAGATCCAAAATAGTTTTGTGAAAACTCTAAGACAAGGTAAGTTCTCTACCCAAAGAAAATTCTACTTACCTTCTAAGACATGCCAGGCTCCAAATCAAAAATGGTCTAACACCATATAACTCACAGTATATCTATAGAAGAGTTATTATTTCTGTCAATACTTAAATACTGAAATCTTCATTACTGTGTACATACTGAAAACCTTTGGTTTAGTAATAAATAGTTCAGCTGCTACTAGCAACAAAAATGTTTTAAATATACAAAAATAAAAGTTCAATAGTTGACAACAGATTTTGTCTGTGATCCCCGTTTCACCCGTAAATATGTTCCACTTACAATCCTCTTGATTCTAAAGGTTTTGTCAAAATTCAACCAGATAATTACAAATTAACTCTTTCATTGTAAGCTGCCATGGGGCCTATGACATGATATCTGATGGTACGTGTGCATTGTGCCATAGAATCAACAGCATACACTAACCTTCTTTCCATATATCCTAGCACAAGAGTATTTACCTTACCTGCCTTTATAATGCACCTTAGAGGAATCCTTAGTGAATATAAACTGTGTAGATCACACAAGGAAGTCATGTAACTACTGCATATCTTCAAAAGGAGAACGTGCTTTCACAGAAACTTTAGGATAAATTGAAGGCTATACTTCTGCAGTTGTATGTCACACTTTTGCATTAATAAACTTCAGAAACAAATAACAGTATCAACAATTCTTTCTTTTCTACAAGATGCTTCTCTCTATATAATTCTTCCATATTATCAAGACACCTGGATATTTGAATACAATAAACACCCTAGAAAAGTTAATGCAGTGAGTGTTGAGAAGCTCCAAAATTTATTCTAAGCAATTTTTAAATACTGGATGCTTGTAAAGTGTAAGTGTATATGTTAAAATGAATAAATTACATAACTGAAATATTTTGCAAAATGATTCCTTTTTTTTACTGCTACTAAAAGGTAAATAAATATGATGTCACAAAACAAAGGATTTTACTGTGGAAACATAATTATAACAAAATTACAAAACTTCACATGGAAAATAAACACTACTGCTTCAATGAAGGTGTTCAAGTAATTGTTGTGATCATATCTTAAAAGTAAAACACAACCAGAATACAATTCCTAACAGTGGACTAATACTGAAATCTCCAATTTAAAACCTACAAATACAGCGAATCTGAACACATTTGTAATGTAGTAGTTCTTACATATTAGCGAGACATCCGGATAAATCAGACATTTTGAATACAATGGGCACTATTAATAGCTTGTATTATCATTGATAAGTGTCAAGATGCAAACTAGTAAGGGTGAACATACAATTGGTAAGCAAAAAAGCAACTGTATGTACAATACATTTAGCAGTTTATTATCTTAAATTTCATCAGTAATTATACAAAAAGCATAATCAAAGTGGCATATTGTGTTTTTCTCTTCACATAAGCCACAATTTTCTTCAAATCAATAACATAAAACATGTGTTGATTCCCTGTATAAGCAAACATAATGTTTTAATGACACTGATATTTCTATATATCTTTGTTTTGTAGCACTGTCACTTGATATGTTTGTAGTATAAATCACTCTGACTTCTCGATATTTGTTATAGTTTAGATGTAAATCACCATTGTGAAGATTGTTTCAGAAAAAACGTCATAAACTGGTACCCACTGCACGTGAATGTTCTAATAAAACTGTTGTATATCAGTACCCATTGCTAGTGATGGTGTTTGGTGGTCAGTAAATATCACCTTATTTCTTGCTCTGATGATTGTGAAGATTTGTCTACATCAAAAACCATCCAGATTGTGAATAATATAAACTGTCGACATCCAAACTGATGAGGATTCACTGTATATCAATAACAGTTTTATATCAAAAATTTAATCTTCCAATCATTAAGTGATAACAGCAAATACCTTCTTCCATTATAGGTTTTCCAGAAAAAGAAATATGTTTCAAAAACATTAAAAGTAAAAAATATCACCGTGAGTTAGGAATAAAAGATTTAGAACTCTATGTAATATCTATTTATTACATGCAAACCTCCAAAGTAAACCAAATAAACCAGTTTAAAGTATGGTATAAGTAAAATGATTATCAATATTACAAGGTAGTGAACACCTCAAAAATCTTCAAAAGTTTAAAACATTATAACTTAATTTTCAAATCAAATACAGAAAGACCAGGTCACTCCCAACAAAAACATAATTTTATTTTTCCTTCTTTCCTAATTGACACATTTTTGCTAAATCATTTAATGTTTGATCCATATCTGGTTGTGGTACTGCTACTATTGTTTTTGAGCTTACCAACTCTTGTTCCTGTAACGAGAGTTTATATTAGCAGCTAACAACAAATGAGAAGTGGTGCTATTATTGTTATACAGTAAAAAAAAATGTCTTTAAAATCAAACACCTAAGCTAATTAATATTCAAGTTATGTTTTTTAAAAAGATTTAATAAGTGTAGTCTCCCACTCCTACAATTATATAACTTATGTTAAAACATAGGCTACAATTACCATAAACATATGAAAATTGAATGGAACAGTTAACGCACAAGCAGAGCAGGTTGTATTTATTTCTGATTACTTTTTCTCAATAATGAAGTAATTTGCATCAAATTTCAGCCACATTTCTACACGTCCTGTATAATTTTTTCACTGATAGTAAATTCTCTTACAACAATTACTTTTTTGTCAAAACTAAACTTGAAAATCTCACAACTATCAATACTTGATCTCAATTTTACCAAAACATTTTAATATGCACCATGATGTAAGCTACAATTTAAAAAGTGGACTATAATTTGTAAAAGTTGTACTTTATAAGTATTAATCAAATTTTAGCAAATTTTCACAAGTAAAGAAATTTTATTATTTCTTCAATAGAAGTTTCAATTTTGCTTTTTCACAATGATAAAAATGAAACTACTTCCATGAAACATGCTTCATACAAGAATTGTTTTGTGATGAGAGTTAAACACAGGAGCATCAATCTACAATTAGCTGGAATGTATCCTTATAACAAAGTTTGCCTATCACAACTTTTTAACTACTGTTTAAGACAAATACAATTTTTAAAATTAAATTATTAGTATGACATGCAATATAAATAATCACTGGATTAAGGCAACTTTTCCTTATTAGTATAAAATTGTACAATCATCATTATTACAAATACACACAGTTTTACCTGTGATGTCTTGGTTGTTGAATTGATGGTCTTTCGTAGATTAACCAAGTTTTCATCAAGTTTTTGAATGCTGTCTTTTGCATTTATCTAGAATACAGAATATATAAATATTTCATCATTCTAGTGAGCTTGAAAAATATTTTAAGGTACTGTGTTATTCTCAATGACAATGGGAACAAAATGTCACCAGCTTAAGCCCCCTTGTCAGTGGGATATTTTGAAGATAGTTATATCAACTATGTAAATCACAACTGAAAAAATATTTAGACAATTGTTATTATTAAGGAATAGTCCTTTGACTTTGGAATATGTTTTTAATTTAAATAAAATCAACCATAATACAGAGTTCACTTTTACAATGAGTAATTTAGGTTAATCTTTTTCGATTTATATGAATTATAAAAAAAAAAAAAAACAGTTCAATGCAAAGAGGCAATTTAAAACATATATATAAAAATACGTGGGAATATTTGTCATCTTTATGTATATTTTGTAAATAAAATCATCTCATGGAACTGAACCTAATTCTTGAAGGTTAAAACTATGTATTTATTTATTTTATTCAATTTAATAATAATAATAATAAATGTTTATAAAAATTAAAATTTATGTTTTGTTTCATGTATGCGTGTGTATGTGTGTTATATTACTGTCATTCTCACAAAATATTCAAAACGTCAGTTATGACAAAAGTTAATGTAGTATAATGACTAAAAATGTTTTTCCTGTTATGATAAGAACCACAAATCAAAACTCAAGTTCCATAACTTTTGTTAAACGAAACAATAAACTCACATGCCAGAATTTTGAGAGAAATATTGATAGCAAATTAACCAAGTAGACTTGCAGTACATAAAACAGTGAATATATGTGCCAAGTATTTTAATACATTGTCATTTACATTTAGAGATTGAAAATGCAAAGGACTATAAAAGTTATTCCAACAATGTTAATGACTTATCTCTGCCTTCTATGTTTAACAAACTGAACAGAAATTTCATGACTGTACCCTAAGCTTATGTAAACAATTATAGTTTCAATACATCAAAATATGAGATGGCGTGTAAAACATTAATTCAATATTTTCAATATTTTTTATAAATCAATTAATAAAAAAAATTCTCATTGATAATCATAACAGCATAAAATAGCTAAAAAACTTTGGTAACCTAAAATACTGGTAAATTATGATTCAAATAAAACTAATAATTTATTAACCAAATTAAATAATTTTAGCACATTATATTTTGCAGAAACAAAACTGTCTTTCTTGAATAAACATTAACTCTTCAATTATTGAAAAATTCTAACTCGTTTGAGTCTTGAAGTCACTGGTTTACTCCTTTTATCCTTTTGTTTGTTAACCCTGTTAACTGGAACTTGAAAAACACATTTCTGTTGCCGATTTTTCTGATTTCGTCCCATACTGGCTCATATGCGTGTAGTTTTCTGAAAGATTAATATTTTAAATTTTCAGTATATCTATGTTTGAGATCTAATTATTCTACATTACTTTTGAGAATAACAGTGGAAATGCCCAATACAATACAGAAATTACATATTTGGTAAAAATAATAATAATAAAAAAAGAAAGACTTGTTTCATGGCAACACAGTAAAACACTCAGGCATATAATATTCTCTGAGATTAATGAAAACATTTGTGCCACAGTTTGTTAATTAATATAAACTATAACCTAAACATGACTGAAATTTTTTTATAATTCTAGCATGATCTTACTGATAGTCAAAAAATGATCATATATTTTAAGGTATACATCTCAAAAAGATTTGCAAAATATGAAATTCAGAATACAGCAAAAAATCCTAGAAACTAGCCAGTGAGGGTGACAATGGAGGAGTCTTCCCTGATTTTACCCAAGTAAATTTTCAATTTTGTGCAATTTCTTTAGACATAAACTAAATAAATAAACAACTTTTTATGTGTTATTTGATATTTACAATGCTCTGATGGTGAACCAATCACACATTTTTTTCTGTGCAATGTAGAATTATATAAAGCCCATAAAATCATTCAGGATAAATCATCTCAGCCATGTCTTGGCAACCTATTTGCTGAAACATGTTTATCAGCTGTCAGTTCAATATCGGAAATCTAAGCCTGTGTAGAATTGTGTCAGTTTGGATTTCCTTTGTATATATCAATATTTATTGGTTTGTTTAAATATAATGGGCTACTTACAGTAAGACCAGCACAGGGATTGAACTCTGAATTTTAGTGCTACAAGCACTCCAGCTTCTCACTGAGCTACTGGAGAGAGGGATGGGATATTAACTGTGAATTTATATGTTGTATTATTCGTTTCTATGATGCTGAATTATATTGCAAATCTTATTAGATTTTTAAACAAGCACATCTTTTTTTTTAATGAAAATTAACTAAAAAAGACCTAGATCGTCTGAAGCCCCTGCATATAGTTTAAAAACTTTATTTCCTGTTTACTGTGTTCACCTGAAACCATCACAGATATGTCTTTCAGATTTCCTTTATAGTTGCAGAAGATGGATCAATATTGAATTTGTGAAATATATCAATTAGAACAATTGCATTATCTAGAACTGTTAATTCATTATTCACACATTTCTGAAGGTTACCAAACACTTTATACGTCTAAAATCTTGATTTAGGTGTTATGAATTCTAGTTACAGTGAAGAGTATACAATATTTACCCATTTAAAATATTTGTATCTTTACTAAAATTAGGCAATAAGCCCATTCAAGCCCACAAACAGGGGTACAGAAGCCCAGGCAAATGAAACCTGGTTATGCTGTAAAACCCACAAAGTATCTTTAGGCTATATTTTCATTCAATCATAAAAAGCGTAGTTTTAGCTTTTCTTTGCATATAGACACTTGATACATTAAGAATGACTGAAATAATAATTTGAGTAATAATAAATATATATTTGATATTTTATAGATTTAATAGATATTTGTTGTTACTTCATTAACATTTTTCCGCATATACTGTGAGCTAAAAATAGCTGCTGCTACGATTTTGCCTTGATTATGAGCTCGTTGCTGTCCTAATTTAGGATCTTTTTTTAATAAGTTTCTAAAAATATTTAAAAAATAGAAATGTGGCCCAGTGAGGATGTTTGGTGTGGGGTCCATGCTGGCTCTCAATACTCCTGAGCCCATTAAGGCTTTACATCATTAAGTACAAAAATGTACTAAATATAAAATATCATTAAATATATTAAACATAAAATGTCAGCCTCATACACTATAGATTATCTAAAGCATGCAGGGAGGAGTGGTGTGTTTTAGACACAGCAGCTTTATAATGGAAATTATGCTGCCAGGGTATTGTACCGGTTCACTGTCATCAGAAACAGCATGACTGGTCATGGCAACATACACTGTAATGATGTGGTGAGGCTCCAAAACCTTTTAATATAATGCACTTAACTTCTGTATAAGTATGTGATATGAAAATCCTGTAGTATATCTAACATTATTTCAAACAGAATGAAGAAAATGAACAAACTTTTAATTAATCATACCTGTAAAGTCTAAACAATGTTAAAAAGTATTGAACAATTTTTTTATAAACAGTTGCTACCCAAGATCCATTATGTTTGGGTAACATGAAATATTATTTAAATCTGTAGCCATGACTTTGCTGCTACACTATCTTAATAACTGTTTTGATCTTACAAAGCCTTTATAAGTAGAAAGCTGCATTTCTCTACTACCATAGTTTAAAACTGCCCAGTAAACTGTGCTTTTGAAAACTGTTCATTACCTACAAGATTCTTATAATGTAAACAATGATTCAGTTATCCTACCTAATGATGCACTCTTGTCAAACATACTTTCTTAATGTTCCACCCAGCCACGGGAGTGTAACTGTTTCAAGGCATATTTCATAAGTTATGAAACAAATCCTAATTTATCTCATATTTTATCTACTGTACAATTATGCAAAAACACAGAGAATTTGGAAAAAGAAAAACTAAAACATATTAAATATTAATTGTGTAACAAAATAATTTATTAAAAAAACAATAACCACAAATTTAAAACCTCAACAATTTTAAAAATATGTACTTAGTTATCAAAAATTCATCAACAATGCATCCACTTCATTTTTTGTCATACCTGTCATTACATAACATTTAACATTTTTTTTAAAGTATAAAATAAATATTTAATGCTTTAAAAAGATTATAATTTGGAATATTCTCTGAAATTTTACTTGTTTACCACAGAATATACTCAGTAACCTTTTAACTTTGTTTGGTCTGGTTTTTTTTGAATTTTGCACAAAGTTACACAAGGGCTATCTGCAATAGCCATCCCTAATTTAGCAGTTACAGACTAGAGGGAAAGCAGCTAGTCAGCACGACCCACTGTCAACTCTTCGACTACTCTTTCACAAACAAAAGTGGGATTAATCATCACATTATAATACCCCCACAGGTGAAAGGGCAAGCATGTTTGGTGTGACGGGAATAACTTTGTTCCAATTACCATTAATAATATGGAGCACTTTTTAGCTATTACAAGTTTGTTTATATAAAATAACTTTCATATTAAGCATGAAGTTCAATAATCAAAACAAAAATTTAAAAAATATGTTAAATAGCAAAAATTAATAGTTGTTTATATATAATACTATTTTGCAAGACTTGAACTAAGTTGTACATAGTGCAGTCACAATTTAATTGTACTGCTATAAGATACTTTGAATTGTGACAATGATTGTTTCTATTTAGAACAAGTAAAACATGGACAGTAAGCATAGCTATGTTTCTTTTATGTTTTTTCTTCATTTCCAAGGAATAATTTCAAGAGCCATTTGATCCATCTAAGCTATCCCATTTTCTACTCCATCCCACATACAGAAACCTCTAGTTCTACATGTATATCCAACACTAATCTCTAAAATACTGTCAATGTACTCAAGGGTAAGGGTGTTGATTTGGTGTTTTTGAATTTTCAGAAAGCATTTGACAAGGTGCCACATAAGAGGTTTCTTAGAAAATAATCTCTTTAGATGTGGAGGATAAGTTGCTTGGATGGCTAGAAAAAAAAGGCTTGATGGAAGAAAGCAGCAAGCTGTCATAAATGGAGATCAGTTCAACTGGATTAGTGCCATAAGTGGGGTACCTCAGTCAAGGCTCATTGTTAGGACCTTTGCTCTTTTTGGTTTATATCAATAAGATAAATGAAGGAATGGTCAATAAACTGTTTACATTTGTTGATAATATTAAAGTCTTGCTGCTGGCTGTGATGAGGATGCTACTGCTTTATGAAAAGGTTTAAATTGTTTGTTGAGTTGGGCAAATAAATGGCAGATGGTTTTTACTTAAAATAAATAAAAGGTAATGCATGTGAATTAAAGTGTAATTTTGATTAAAAGACCTTACCATTGCTATGGAAAAAGAGAGAATCTGGGTGTATTAGTTGATCAGTCTCTTTAGCCATCCAAGCAATGTGCTGTTGATAGAGGTAGGGCAAATATGATTTTAGGTTGTATCTACAGAAATATTGAATACAAGTCTAAAGAGGTTATAATTTTAATGTATAGTTCACTGGTTAATCCTTATTTGAGTAACGTTTTCAGCCTTGGGCTCCTTACCTTAAAAGAAGAACACTGAATTGTTGGAAAGGGTTCAAGAGAAGGACTACTAGGATGACACTTGGTTGGGAAAGTTGTCATATGAGGGCAGGTTAAGAACTCTGAAATTGTTTCTCTTGAAAACAGAAGAGTTAGGACTAGAGGACAGAAAATATAAATTTTGACAAGATAGAATTTATCTTCAGCTAAGACAGGTTTTGTTTTCAAATAAGGTTTCTTCCAGATCTGGTGGATGCAGTAAATTTGAGTGAATTTACTAGAAAGCTTGCTAAATATTTAAATGAAGAATGCTGGCTTTGAGGTGTTTTTTGTGGTTATTTAGTTTAGTGATTGGGACAGCCTTGATGGACCAACAGGGCTCTTGTTGCCCTTAAATGTTATATTAATGTTGCAGCTTTTACTACACCTAAAAGTAAACCATTACACAGGTCAACTACTTATGAAAAAAGTAATACTGACATAACTGGAGTCATGTCTGAGTTTCCCATATGTTAAATTTATCTTCTAGTTTTACTGCTTGTGGTTTTGTATTTATGAAAATTATAAGCAAAAACCTCTTTTACTCAAAACTTATGGAGACACTGGTTATACCAGAGCTAAAAAATTACAATCAAACAACTCAATATGAAGCAGATATTAGGCAAACACTGAAGCACATTAGCATTTGGGCAATTCTGTTAAGTTTAATTCTTTTTGCAGAATATCTTTGGACAATACACAACAAATTTTAGAAAATTACTTGCAAGTTTACATTTCTTAGTACTCCAAAGGTAACTATAATAGCCTCTATAGCTTAAGTAGCACTTCATAAAAATGAAATGGATTTTACTAAGAGATGAATAAAGAAGTCAGTTTTGAACAGGATAATGAAAAAATTATCCACACCATATTTCTAACTATGATTTTTATTTGTCATGATGTGTTTCATTAATTATCTCTTTTTTTTTTTTCATTACAATAACTAGTTTGGATGTCATTAGCCTTATAAGATTGTGTAAAAGTGATCCTGCTTGTAAAATAGTATTATAATAACAACAATGCACATTTTGAAAAACTGAAAGAGCAGGACTTTGAAAACATTGCAACTTTTTCATCACCTGTATATTTAAGAAAAAATGTATATGAAAAAAGACTGTTTTAAACAAGTTCACCTACTTTTGGATAAAATATACAAAACATTTAGGATAAATCAAATGCATATTTTGAATCAAAAATATTATGCAAAAGGAATCAAAGTAAAGGCAACACAAGTACAAATGCCAGACTTTTCTGATATATGAATATATATATATATATATATATGTATATAGTTGCATGCAGTAACACCTAACAGAGTAGCTGTTTTCAAATCTTTGTATATAAACATTTTCAAGTTAAATGATGCTTTATACATGTTCAATTTCAACAGAATAGTCTTTTTTTTCAAATATACAAATATTGACAGTAGATTGCCAGTAGTTCAATAACCACACATATAGTTAAGGATATAGGATCCATTGTCATATAGGTTTATTTGTAATGTGCACCTTTCTTCTTTACAACTTATCTTTTTCCATTAATCTTTGTTGTTAGACACAAATGCTAGCTCCACAATGAGGTATCTGTGCTGTGAAATTTAATTTTAGAATGAAAAGCCCTCACACTTTACACTGTACTACCAGAGGGAGGGAGGCATTAATTATAATCTCTTGTAACAATAAGATCCTTTAATGAATCTCATATTTGAACCACGTTTAAATATGAACTTATCAATTTAATTATAGCATAAGTAAGATAGTCAGCAAGCCCAATTCCCTGACATTTTCAGCTGATAATGTCACAAGTTGCATTTGAATGCATCAACATTATTATATCTTTTATTTTTTATCATTACACTTGCATTTATTAAATTTCACAACCTGCATAGACATATTTCTTTCTCCTTTTTGATTACTTCAATTTAAACAGTTTTTTTCCATTATGGTTCAACTGTAGCCTTTGTGTAAAAAAATTATGTGGCATGCATGTTTTTTTTAGAATACAAGTAACTTCAATCAGAAATGTACGGGAATTTATGTGTTGTATTTTGCATCAAGTCACAGGTTATAATTTAGGCCAGCTCTCCTTTACTTTCTGAAACTCCTTACATGGAATTCTTCTGTTTCTATTCTGACAGAAATGCATATAATTACATAAGATGTTAAGAAATCTGCTTTGATTAAGACTTCAACTTTGGACACTTAAATTATAAGTGTTCTATCAACTGAACTATCAGGATTTAAGGCCCAAATAGATTGATCCCATCCTGATCTTGCATGATCCCTTATGCTTAAACAAGACTTGTCTTTGGCTCTCAGCACAACACAACACCTACAAGCCCCACATATACCAGACCAACTACTGAGCCAATTATGTATGCTAGAGCTGGCAGATTAACTCGATTAATCAATCACCTATAAGTATTGATTAATGTAATATAAAACAAATAATTAATCAAAACTATGATTAAAGTGATTAATGTCATGAAAATAATCAAAATTTGTGTTTCCGAGTAATGAGCCTTGCAGTCAATTATTAAATTCCAAACACTGCCCAGCATTAAGGTGCACATATGCTTTGATTTACTAGGGCTCAGGTCTGAAACACATAACACTCCATTCTGACCTGTCACAGCACTATGGAATAAAAATCTTGAATGTCCATTCCCCCAGAGGAGCTAGATTCCCAAATCCAATCCTGATGCATAAATATGTGAGATCTGCAACTAACACTATAGATTCATACAAGAAAATAATATTGGGGAAATGATAATAAACATTATCCATACACCACAACCCGGGGTATTTTTGCCTTAAATTTCACAAATTTAATCAAACAATCAATTTAACTGTTAAAAAACAACAAAAAATATACATCTTTGGAATTTCAGGGCTTCAGAATAATGGGCCCTCAGACTAATGGACCATCACCTAATTATCTCCAGTCCATATAATCCCTAGTTAGGCCTCAATATGAATAGTGTACATGTTTAGTCCTAATCTAAGAAAGGATATTGGACTTAAAAGATTATGAGGAAAAATGCTAGAATGATTCTGCTGAAGGAAAGATTATCTTATGAGGAAGTTTAAGATCTCTTTTAATTTATTTTCTCTCTAGAAAAAAAGGATAAGGGGGTGATCATAATGGAGCGCAGAATATTATCTAATTGTGAGGAATCAACAGAATATAGGCTCTAACTAAGATAACCAATTTTAAAGCTATGCAAAATAGTATTTTACTCAAAATTCAGGAATAGGATCTGTTTTCGTCTCACGACTTTCGTCACTTACTTGAATTTGAAACCGTCACTTTGAAATTCATTACAAATTTATAATATAGATTATTTTCACAATATAGGTTAACTTTATCATTTAATATGAATGCACACTGTACTGTATTATGGATACATAGCACAGTATTAGTTGTATACACTATACATAATACAGTAGTCACTATCAGTGTCACTACAGACTTGTATATATATAATTACACATCATAAAGCACTAAATACTAAAAAGTACCAGTTGTGGCAGGATTGCTACAAAGAAGAGAAATCAGTAAATTTGTATTACTATCAGCATTAGTTACTAAATTAGTAAATACTTAACATAGTACTACCACTAGTACCAGTGTAGTATTACTATTAGTAAGATAACTGTCACTCTTACTACAAATTAAATTATAAATCTATTGTATTAATCAAATTGATTACTCAGATTATAATCAATAACACAAATAGCAAGTAACTGTATTTTTGCTTAAAACTTACGATAAATTAATTATTTAACATATCATAATCATGGATACACACGTGCTCCGTGAATATTCAACCTTATCGCCACCTACAATTCGTGGTCAAGTGAGTTTTAAAAATGTCCACACAGGTTTATATTTTTGTAAGAAACTATCTCAAAGATTTTGATTTCAAAAGCTTAGTTTGTGTACTGTAATAAAATCACATAAAATCCATAAAATATAACAAAAGCGTAGAAGTACATCAGCAAAATAATATTATAAATAGTGTCACAGAATCTTTCCTTTAAAATGAAAAATCAAATTACTGAAGAGCTAAGTGCCTACAATGATGCTCCACAGTGGCACAGTGGTAAATCAGTTAACTCATAACGCTAAAATTCGGGTTTCGATACCAGTGGTGGGCACAGCACAGATAGCCCATTGTGTAGCTTCGTGCTTAACTACAAACAAACAAATAACCACAAAAATATAGAGACAGCGTGTTTACTCTTTTGAAAAGCAGGAGGATTTCGGTATGAAAATGATCAACGAACACAGGAATTCGATGGGAAGGCACCATGGGAAGCATATAGAGCACAATTTGAGCTACTGGCAAGAATAAATGGATGGACAGAGAAGCAGAAAGCAGTGTACATGGCAACAAGCCTGAAGGGAGAACCACTGGAACTACTTGGACAGTTGTCAGCAGATGACAGGCACAACTATAAAGCACTGGTAGCGGCTCTGGAACTCAGGTATGGAACCCAAAATCAGTCAGAAGTATACAGGGCTAGGTTTAGGAC